GGATTTAGAATGAACAAAAAATAACAACAATGGGTAATTTAAGACAAATGCTGTATCCATCATATCTAAAAATTCTAAAGATAAATCAGTAGGTAACTAATCAGGTTATAAGAGGGCTCACATCAAAGTGCCTCAAACCAGAAAACCTCTGAGATAAAAGAGCTTGATTTATAAGACTATGGGTATACTTACATACATGCAGGCAATAACACTCATACACATAAAAAGAAATAATTCAAATTCATTATCTTACAAATAAAAGCATTTTCTAGTCCCATGTCTCCTCCTTAGGAAAAAAAAAAAGCAGGACATACAAAGACAGAGGTCAGTCTAACAGCACACTTCTGTATCAAAAACTGGGTACAGTGCAAACAAATCAAAGTTCTACAACGGTTTCCCTTTACATTCAAGGCCTGGCAGTCCCTATAGTCACAGTGCAATCCTTTAAGAGCATCTCTTGAGTGGCCCCCTAAGTGTCAGGCAATCCTCTATGTGGGTGTGCAAAGATGAACAGAGTAATACCTGTTCTGAGATCAGCACACTTCTGTATCAAAAACTGGGTACAGTGCAAACAAATCAAAGTTCTACAACGGTTTCCCTTTACATTCAAGGCCTGGCAGTCCCTATAGTCACAGTGCAATCCTTTAAGAGCATCTCTTGAGTGGCCCCCTAAGTGTCAAGCAATCCTCTACGTGGGTGTGCAAAGATGAACAGAGTAATACCTGTTCTGAGACGCTCGGCACCTGGAGAGAGGGTCTGTGGGACACAGCTGGCCCTGCCTGACCCGAGACCACAGACCTCAGCAAGACTTCCTGGAGGAGCACAGAAGGATGAACTGATCAAGTTGCTCCGGTCCTGAAAGTTCAGTGTCTTACAGCCTTTCCGCTCACATGCTACATGCACCCCTCATGCAACACCCCCAAACTGAGCTCATTTTCACCCAAAATCTTGCTTCTCCCACTGCAACTCAGTGTGGGGAATGCCATTACTTCCATCTTTGCTGAAAACATTCACTTTTCCTTTCAGATTTTCTTCTTCTCAACAGCTTATCAGCATATGACACTGAGTAGCTTTCAGATATTTTTGGAACTATTCCCCATCATTGGCATCTCATGGCCAAGACCCATGAACAGTCTCACAAGGCTGTCTGTGAGAACCACAACTGAACTAATTTTCTTGCCTCCAGCCTCTTCCTGTCTAACTTGTACCATACCTGTCCCTACTTTGTGTCCTCTGGCCACCAACCCTCCCTGGCTCCAAGATAAAGTCCAGGCTTCTTAGTCATCGAGACCATGCTTGTCTAACTCCCCAGTATCATTTCTAACAAAAATCCTTTCAGAACTCTGGTTCTAGGAAATGACTCCATGGAAACACTGTCTACTTCTAAGCCCCGAGCTCTTTGTTCAAGCTGTCCTCAGATATCTTGTACAAACCATGATTTAGAACTTATCATGCCCCCAAATAAGTGCTTTTATCCCCTTGGTCATCCCTAACACTGTCCATGGCACACAGGAGGTATTTGATAAATATAATCTAGATGAACTGGGAACCCATGATAGGAAATTTCATTCTAAGAGAACATATAAGAAAACCTGGAAGCAGGGGCTGGAGAGATGGCTTAGAGGTTAAGAGCACTGGCTGCTCTTGCAGAGGACTCTAGTTTGGTTCCCAGCACCCATATGGTGACTAACAACCATCTATAACTCTAGTCCCAGGGGATGGAACACTCTAATATGACCCCCGTGGGCACTGCATGACACCAGTTCACTTACAAGCATGCAGGCAATACACTCGTACAAATTTTAAAACAAACCAAACAAAACAGGAAGCAGAAGCTAAGGGAACAGTTGAAGAACTGGGAGCTGGAGAGATGGCTCAGCAGGGTAAGTACATGCCACAAAAGCACTAGGACCTGAGTGTAGATCCCTACAACCCCCATACAAAGAGGGCATGACTGGTGGGGGAGGAGAGACAGGCAGATCCCTGGAGTTCACTGGCCTGCCAGCTTGGCCAACTGGTAAAGGTCCAGAATCTAAAATTAAGGTGAAGATTGATCAAAGAAGATACCTGACATCAACCTCTGGCTTCCACATACACCCATATCTGTATACACTCATGCATACACCCACAGGAAGCCACATACTCGAACCCCCCCACACAAGAAGAATGGAGCCTGAATGCTGCCACACCTGTTCTTCCTTGCTCTCAAAGTCTCCTGCCTTTTCAAGCCATAAAGCCTCTACGCTTTGAAATCAAAGATAATTTTACAGCCAAGTGCGCTGACACATGCCTTTAATCCCAGCACCTGGGAGGCAGAGACAGGCAGATCTCTGGGAATTTGAGGCCAACCTGGTCTACAAAGCTACTTCCATGCTAGCCAGGGTTACACAGTAAGAGCCTGCCTCAACAAAACAAAAATAAAGATAACTTTTATACTATATGTAAACAAATTCTCAAAAATGCAGTCACACATACAAGTATCCTAGACCCTGAAGGTGATCACAGGTGTAAGAATCAGGAAAACTTGCAGTGAATGTCACAGACGATTAGTAAGGCATTTGAGGGGAGCCAGCCTTCACAAAGACAAGCTGGAGATACAAACAACTCTCCACCTGGGGAAATGAACTGTGGAAAGTTCTTATGATACATGGAGTCTGTGGGCACTCCTTGTCCAAATGACGTCACTACTCTACTTTACATCCACATGCACACATACCAGGCTACCCCCAAATAATCTGCCAATAGTCTGTCAGTATTTGGAACTGTCACCTTTGGCAGTACACACCTACTCACCAGCAGGCATATCAAGTACAGTTGGCACTGGGGGCAGCTGCGACACACCAGGATGTGACAGACACGCCAAAGCAGAAAATGGAGAGGTACAACGAATCCCTTGTTTCTTTTAAAATTTGTTATTGTGCAATTATAGAAATAGATTTTAAAATATCATTCTCTCTGGATAAGGGAGTTGATCCAACAGTCAAAAGAATAAACTTACATGTACCTGTAATTCTAGGACTTGCAGCTAAGAGGCCAAGAAGATGAAAGAAAAGTTAATCTACGGTTTTAACTGCTCAACTCGGTACTAAAAATAGGAGGAGGGGATGTGGTATCTATTTTAGAGTAACTGCAGATAAACAGTAAATTCAATCCAAATGTAGCTGAGTGCTATGAAAGAAGGAAAGTGGGGAAAGAGGGGCAGGAAGGGGAAAGACAGGAAGGGAGAGGGGGAGAAGAGAGGGAGGGCAAAAAGGAAGGAACGAAGGAACAAAGGAAGGGAGGGAGGGAGGGTAGCTAGCTATGAGGGAAAATATGAAACAGAAAAAAATAGACGTCATTCACACTGTTTAATATAAACACAAGTCAATGCATCTTAAAACCTGTGAAACCCAGTGAAAGGGGAAAAAGAAACAATCATTCCACTTTGGGGTGGAGTGATTAATGCAAGAACTGAGTAATAACTCCCTTAATGGGGCTGGAGAGATGGCTCAGCAGTTAAGAGCACTGGCTGCTCTTGCAGAGGACCTGGGCTCTGTTCCCTAGAACCCACATGACACCTTCTTGTGGTCTTAGCAGGCACTGCATGACAATGGTGCACTTACATATATGTAGGCAAAACATTCATACACATAAAATAAATAATGACTATTTTTTAAAAGAACTCCCTTAATCCCCTTCCATTACCACTTCCTTCAGCATGCCCCCATAAACTGTTCAGGAGGAAGAAGTAGGAATCAAGCAAGCTAAACCCAGCAGCAGAACTCAAAGAGCATGACTTTATGAATTCAAGAACCAAATCCCAACAGCTTCAGAGGCAATGACTTTGTGCCTTCTCCTCTAAGAGAAAAGACACTCATGTTTCACCAGCTGGAACATCTGACAGGACAGTAGGCATCCTGACATAAAGTCCACTAGAGAGCACATCCATATGGACTGTGTCCTGACTCTATCAGGCAACTGACTCAGAAAACAGTAAGTGCTAAGGAAAAGGCCTGTCACACACAGGCTGGCCTCCAAAGTCAATCCTCACAAAAGAATTAACAGGTTAGGGCTGAAGGATAAGAAGTAGATATACATTGGAAATACATCAATGCCTGGATTAGCTATTAATGAATGAGCGTTTCACACCATCAACATTATAAATATCTCAAGCATAATCCCCTTATGAATGAAAGCTTTTATAAATAGGCATGTTAGAGTTCCTACTGTTTTTATGACTTTCCCCATCCCCTCCTCCCAGGCCTCCATTTCCTCACACCACAGTACTGTGTTTTGTACACAGTATACATCCCAAGCAGTGATGACAACAACTTTGTCCCAATTGAAAGTAAGGAATAAAGCTGCAGATGACTCTTAGTGGTAGAGTATTACCCAACACAAGACACACACACACACACACACACACACACACACACACACAATAAATAAAGTAAATGCAAAAACACACAACAACAACGTAATGATAAAAAATTTTTTTGAGAGACTGAGTAAGATGGTGCACATCTTTAATCCCAACACTCAGGAGGCAGACTCAGAGGCAATATCCATGAGATTGAGGACAGCCTGGTTTACATAGTGAGTTCCACGCCAGCTGTGGTTACAGGGAGATCCAGTCTCAAAAAAATATATTCTTTTTTTAAAACAAAACAAAACAAAAACAAAAACAACAACAACAACAACAACAAAATAATGGCCTTTGGAGCTAAGTGTGGTGGCAGGCATCTGCAGTCCTAACCACTTGGGAGGCTGGGGCAGGAAGACCACTTCAAACTCAAGATCAATCTAAACTACACAGTAAAAAAAAGTCTCAAAAAAGAGAGTAAGGAGTGAGGACTTCTGTATAGCGTGCCCTTTCTGACAGCACACTGAGACAGAAGAGACTCCCTCTTTGTCTCTTATGGTTGCTGGCTATGCACAGAACCAATGTACCATGGGCCAGGACAGAAGGGTCATGCATGAAATGAGATGTGCCATGCTGGTGGCTCCTTTTCTGTTCTTACCAGTTTTATTTTAGAAGAAAGATTTTCTGGCAATTTTGTTTTCAGTTGACTTGTTTCCTTGAACGTTGGTGGAAATCCACTCAGGAATGCCAAATCTTGCATCAGCACTAATCCAGGGACCTCTTTATCTGTTGTCTAAAATAAGAGAGAAAAAAAAAACCCTCAGTTTACTTTCCATACCATGAAGCTGGTGAACTACTGTGCCTTTCAAACTTCAAAAAGGACACTGCTATTACACTCATTAGCACCAGTAAGCTAGGCTCCGAGAAAAGGTTTTGAAGGAGCCAAGCACGGTGGCACAGGCCTGTAATTCCAGCACTTACAAGGTTAAGGCAGGAGGATTACAAGTTCAAGGTCAGCTGAGACTACAAAGCAAAACAGTGGAAAACCATACAATTAAATTGAAAATGACATACCAGGTAAGCCCTCCAAATGGTCTGTTTGGCAAAACTGTTTCCTTTGAACAGTCCAGCATGGGCATCTTCAACTACAATAAATGATATAAGAAACAAGCATATGTTTAATGAATACACTCATCTGTGCTCTGGCAGAACACTGTGCACAGCATTTTGGGAGCTACTATAGTAGCACAATACATAGTTTTGAAAAGGTAGTTGGAGAAGACAAAATTAGCACATCCAACAAAGGAGGAACAATGTAAACCAGTGTATAATTAAGCATCACATTACGCACTGCCAAAAGAGAGCTTTATACAGGCACCAGGATGCTGTATGGAAGTAAACACACTTGAGCTGGAACCACAAAGGAGAAATGACAGGATGACAGAAAAAGCACAGCTATAAGAGCAAACGTGGTTGAGAAAAAAACCACTGACTACAGGAAAACCTCTGGGGATGTCAGTACTAGCAAACAATAACCAGAATAAGATAAGAGGAGTGGGTGGCTTAAATAACATGCAGAGGCATTTATATGGACAGCAGGCAGCTACCTTATAGCCTATATTCCCTTAAGAAACAACTTTCAGGGCTAGAGAGATGGTTCAGCCGTTAAGACCACTGACTGCTCTTGCAGAGGACCTGGGTTCGGTTGCCAGTGCCCAAATGACAGCTAACAACTGTCCATTACTCCAGTTCTAGGGGATCCAATGCCCTCTCCTGGCCTCCGTGGGCTCTGCACACACCAGGTGCACTTACACTTACAGGCAAAACACTCCATACCCACGAAATAAAAATAAATAAAGGATTAAAGCAGCTACTTTCTTACAATGAAAGCTTCAAATTCATTAGGTGATGTGGACTAGAGATTAGTTGGTGTAGGAGGGCACAGTCTAACTTCAAGAGAAGTATGAAGCGAAGGACATCAGAGGCTTAGCAAGTGCTGACATCCAGGATGGAAGAAAATGGGAGTGTCAGGATGGGGGCTCTAATCCTGATCTTCCAGATGGGCAAAGGAGGTAGCTTCTGCAAATTACAGTCTGGGAGATGGATGGTGGCCCCAGGCAGGAGTCTCAAGCATACTACAGAAATAGACCTGGCAGAGCACCTGCCTAGCATGCACAGGCCCTGGGGAGAGGAGTGAGGAAGAAAGACATGGAACGCTGGAACAAATGAAGCTTTGAAACACAGTCTAAAGGAAGCACTGGGCCAGGAGTGATAGTTCACCCTTATAATCTTATAGTCAGGAAGCTGAGGCAGGAGAACTGTCATGAATTCAAGACCAGCCTGGACATAGTGGATGCTGGGCTAGCCAGGGCCATACAGCAGTATCCTATCTTAAAAGATCAGCACTACCAGCAAATCCCCCCCAAAGCACAAACACTAGATGTTAGGAGTAAAGGTTACTTTCAAATAAATTTATCAGGTAACTCTCTGTCTCTGTGGATATGGTGGGCTCTGCACTCAACTGGAGAATTCTAACAGGTCTGGTATATGTAATACATACTTGCACGTAATCTTGGTAAAGTTGTCACAACATTCTCAGGCTGTCAACGTATTTATAGATATTCAGGTTGGATAGTCAGCCATTCTGACTGAATTACACAATCGTAACCAACCTGGAAAAATGTTTTAAGGTTTGCCACAAGTTCTTATTTTGATGAACGCTACATCAAAGTTTTTGAAGAAACAGGAAACATGTTTGTGAAATGTGTAGACAAAGCTGACAGATGTTCTTTTCCTGGCTAACAGACTAAGGACTCTCCAAATGTTTGAGCAATGAGTCAAATCTACCAAGATAAAATCTACAAACAAAAGTAAGGGGGCTGGAGAGTTGGCTCTGGGGTTAAGAGCACATGATGTTCTTCCAGGGGACCAGGGTTCAATTTCCAGCACCCACATGGTGGCTCTGTCGCCCTCTTCCAGCCTTCACAGGCACTACATACATACCAGTAAACATACAGGCAATTAAAACAAAGGTAAGATCTTTGAGCACCAGAAGCCAGTTATACAAACACAGGAAGTATTTGACCACTGACACACATCTCACCAAGAAATCAGGTTGGACTGATATTCAAAACATCCAGAACCCAAACACTTCTCATTCTCACTGTATCTGTTCTGAGCCACCTTCACTCTTGCCCGGATTAGGACAATTTTTGTGCCTCCTCTGTGCACAGCAAACTGATCCTTATGGAACAAGTCAGATTGTTACACCAATGATCCCCATCACAGTCTGGGTTAAAGACAAAGCCCTCAAAGTGGCAACAATGACTGACACACCACCTCTACTTCTCTGGACCCATCTTTTGCCTCCCCTCTCTTTGTTCGCTTCATTTCAGTCATACTGGCTATTCCTCAAAACATGGCAGGCACATTCCTGCCCCAGTGCCTTTGCACTAGCTAGTCTACTTCTCCTAATAATAATTTTTTTTTGGTCTTTTTGAGACAGGGTCTCCATGTAGCCCCAGCTGTCCTGGAACTCACTATGTAGACCAGGCTGGCCTTGAATTCACAGAGATCCGCCTGCCTCTGCCTCCCGAGTGCTGGGATTAAAGGCGTGAGCCACCACACTTGGCTAATAATTCTTCTTTTAATTTTTAAAGATTTTGAAATTTAATTTAACTTAATGTGTATGGGTGCTTTGCCTGCATCTATATAAGTGCACTATGTTGATGCCTGGTGTCCTTGGAAGCCAGAAGATGGTGAAAGAGCCCTGGAAACTGAAGGTACAGTCCGTTGGTAGCCACTCTGCAGGTGCTGGGAACCAAACCAGGGTGCACTGCAAGGGCAGGCATTGCTCTTAACTGCTAAGTCATCACTCCAGCCACCTCCCCTTTTAATTCTTTCTTCAGTTATTCATGTTACTGGCTCCCTCACCTTCACATTTCATTCAAAAGCTACCCTCTTTATGAAGCATGTTCCTACCATTCAATTAGAATTCTTGCCCCCTTCTCTGCCTGGTATTTCCTTTCCCACTTTCCCTGTTCAATCTTTCTCTACAGCATTTATTTTCTACAAACTATATAATTTACTTATTTGGCATCTTAATTATTCACTTATTTACTACAGACAATATATCCATCTGTTCACTTGTACTTTCCCCCCTGGTAACAGTACCTGGCACATAGTCAGCACTTAATAATTAAGACTGTTAATTGAATAGGTGTGCTTTCCCTGTAGAGTGAGCCATGGGAAATACAAAACTCACATCCAGTTGACATAGCTTAATAAGTTTCTGTTTGTTTTCTTTTCTTTTCTTTTCTTTTTTTTCTCATGCTGAGGATCAAACCCAGGGACTTGCCCATGCTAGGCAAGGGCTCTACCATCCAGCTATAGCCTCAGCCCAGTGGATACACTTATGTAAAGGTATCCTGAGAAGAACCATCTAGAACCAAGAGATCAAGAATGAAAGGTTCACTCCTTATACCCCCTCTCTCTGTGCACAAGGAACACATTTCACCTGTGTATGAAAATTATGAGGAAGCAGATTAGTTTCTTCCAAAAGCTGGTTTAGCCTGGAGGTAAAATGCGTGGCTGCAGGAAGACATCTCATCCTATAAATCAAAGTGGGTACTCGTGACTGGAAAAGCCACTTTGCTGAGGGGTCCAGGACCAAGCTGCAAGACCAGATGGCTGACTAGTAAAGTATGAAGCAGTTCAGAACACACCTTCCCGGTAGAAGGGGGACAGGCTTAAAGTCATATAGAATTGCCTCTCAGCTAAAAATAACTTCAGTGCTAGGAGAAGCACTCTTGACATTAACCAGGCTGTAAACTGGTGTGAGGCAAAGTTTTCCTCTCAAACAAATTACCATAAACCCCTGTGCAATTGAAAGTAAATTATGAGTTAAGATTACAAGAACCTTGAGAATGTACGAAAGCAAAGATAAAATCACTGTGACCCTCCTAGTCCTGAAGCTCCAGGAAGACAGAACTTGAGAGGGCTGGGAAAGAACAGGAGGTGGCTAGGGTGGGATTATGGCACAAGTGATGGCCTGGCACCTCCAGAATGACCACCTATCAGCATGATGAAGGGTGCACCGAGAAGAGTGGCAGGCACAGCCAAGCACACTCCGCACACCAGGAAAAGCAGTTTATAGCCATGTGAAAAGCAAATATATACTACTGAAGTACTGTCTTCAAAGAGAGAGTGAACCAAGGACATCAGAGTTTTCATATTTATTTTCCAGTGCATGCTACATAGAGAATGTTACAGGCAGACAGAACAGCTAGGCCTTTGTTAAAGGAGTTGTGAAGGAATTCAGATTGCTGTGAAGGAAATAAAATGAGTAAGTAGGAATCTAAGAATTGTTGGCAAAATAAAGGTTAAGTGATAGGATGAGATTAATTATTAGTTATAAAGTAAAAGGTAGGGAAGAGGCAAAGATGGTTCCAAAACTTTGAGCTAGGGGCTGGAGAGATGATTCAGCACTTAAAGAGCACCTGCTCTGCTTCCAGAGGACCTGGGTTCAATTCTCAACACCACGTGGCAGCTAACAATCATCCATAACTCCATTTCCAGGGGATCCAACACCTTTTTCTGGCCTCTTTGAGTACTGAACACATGTGCTTCACATACATACACGCAGGCAAAACACTGATACACATTAAATAATAAATAAATAAATAAATAATAAATAAAATAGCTGGGCGTGATAGCACATGCCTTTAATCCTAGCACTCAGGAGGCAGAGGCAGGCAGATTTCTGTGAGATTGAGACCAACATGGTCTACATAGTGAGTTCCAGGCCAGCTGTGGCTACAGGGAGACCCTGTTTCAAAAAGAAAAAAAAGAAAAGAAAAGAAAAAGAGCTAGAAGATATGATATAGACAAAATGCCACTGCATGTTGTGGAGGAAGCTTGTAACTCCAGCTCCAGGAAATTCTGATGCCTTCTTCTGACCTCTGTGGGCATTGCACGACACAGGTGCACTTACACACACGTAGGCAGTACACTCATACACATAAAATTAAATAAAGAAATTTTTTTTCTCAAAAAAAGTTACATGGTAGAAAAATAGCCTCTTTGAAGCAGACCAAAGGTCATGGCAGGGTATTCAAAGCCAAGGGTGCGGATGGGTCCTGTGTAGAGTGAATGTTGCACAGTCCTCTCCTGAGGAAAAGCTTAGGAAGATAATACAACAAATACTCTTTTGCTTTACTCTGAGCATTTTAAGTTTGTCAGACATTTCTGAAAAACTCAATCATTTCTGCCTTATTCAGAATTTGTTATTCTGAACATCACGACAACATGATTTGAAAACACACACACACACACACACACACACAAAAAAAAAAACAAAAAAAAAAACTTACCATCCTTAGAACTGTCAAAAACAACAACTGAGACATTAGTAGAAGGATTTTTCGGTTTTGCAACATTGAACATGTCACTGGCAGCATGAAAAGATGGATAGAGAGACGGCAGGTCCTTCAGGGTGCTGCTGGCCGGCAGGGGTGGGTCCAGGACGAGCATGGGCACCTTAACGCAGTGCGTCAGCAGACATTCCAGCTGCTTCTCACTGTGGAGACAAGCCGACAGCCTCAACCACATGCCTGAGATTTCAGGAACAAGGAAAGGCTTGTGGCCACTACTAAATAAGGGAAGATTTTAAAATGCCATAGCCTATTTACAAGTATGATACATTAATAAGTGAGAAGTACTAGGCAGGTGTGATGGCTCACAGTTGAAGGCTAAGGCAAGAGGATCCATCATGAGTTCTAAGCCAGCTTGGAGTATGTAGTGAGTCTCAAAAAAATAAAATCAAATAAAAATTAAAAAATAAGTTTGTCACTAAAATTTACCGGCTTAAAAATTCACAAGAAATTACGTACTTCATTACTATCATTAAAAAAAAAAAGGCCAGGTGTGGGGGCACATGGGAGGCAAAGACAGGTGGATCTCTATGAGTTCAAGACCAGCCTGGTCTACATAGTGAGTTCCAGGCCAGCTGGAGCTACAGGGAGACCATGTCTCAAAAAGACAGAAAAAAAAAGGGAGACCACAAAATAAAAACAAAACACTGAGGGCTGGAGAGTTGGCTCAGTGGTTAAGAGCACTGTCTGCTCTTACAGAAGTTTGGGTTTGGTTTCCAGCACCCACATAGAGGCTATCAACCATCCATAACTCCAAGGAATCGACAACCTCTTCTGCAGGCATTACACAACTTGGGTGCACTTAAATACATGAAGGCAATACACTCATACACATAAAATAGAAATAATAATAAAAAAAACTTAAAAATGAAAACAAAAAACACTATTTGTAGCCAGGTGTGGTGGAGCACACCTTTAATCCCAGCACTCAGGAGGCAGACAGGTGGACCTCTGTGGGATGGAGGCCAGCCTGGTCTCCCTAGTGAGTTCCAGGGTAGCTATGGCTACTGAGAGACCCTGTCTTAAAAAAACAAAACAAAACCCTATTAATATGGTTCTAATGTGAATCAGTGTATGAAATATTTCTATCTGAATAAAGGAAATACCTTAAAAATTACTCAAATAAAAGAAACGGGCAAAGAACATGACTAGAAAATCCCCTAAGTGGAACCCATAATTCCTAGAACAACACATAAAGCTATTCAACTCCCTTTGCTGATAATCGAAGAAATGCAAAAGAAAACAACAGTCACTCTTTGTCCATTTAGCACCCCTTAAAAATGACGACTGAGCTGGGTGTGTGGTCCAGGTCCATGCATTTAGTCCCAGCACTTGGGAGACAGGAGAAGACGGATCTCTGTGGGATTGAGACCAGGCTAACTGGGGTTACAGGGAC